ATTCTCGGACATAAATGACTTAGATAGGTACGGGCGCTGAGTTATTTGAATAACTGTTCGTGCCTCTTCCTCTGCCATTTGCTTGTATCTGTTGCAACTCGTGCCTCTTGGCTCGTTGTAATTCTTTGACCATTTGACCAGTCTACGTGTCTCGACACGTCACCCTTACAATTTTTCCCAATACAGATAGTTTTTCCAATTAAAGGACAATCGAAACGAGATTAATTATTTAAAATTCAGAATCACCACTTGGGATAATTTATGGTGTCCCAAGTAACCGGTTTAAAATCCCAAATCGAGGAAAGTTGACTATTTACGGTCTGCAAACACAGAAATTCGGGTAAGGAATTCTGTTAACCCGGGAGAAGGTGTTAGGCATTCCCGAGTTCCGTGGTTCTAGCACGGTCGCTTTGATCATACTTGGCTTAAACAAATTGTCTAATTACTCATTTTAGAACCTATGTGCATTTGCCTCTTTTAATTAAGAAATTATCTTGAAACAGGTCACGCGTACGTGTACTCATTTGTTTGGCGCGTCAAAAATCATGTCACGCGAACGTGTCCACAATTAATAACGCTTTATTATTATTAAGAAAGTTTGGTCGAAGTTGCGCGAACGCATACCTCGATTTATTTTTTAAAGAATCGTAATTATATCACGCGAATGTGTACACAATCACGATGATTGACTAATTAATAGCACCTACAACGTGCTAGCGATCATTCATGACAATTCAAACAAAAAAAAAGCCCAGCATTCCTCAAAGATATTATATATGCTAAATTATAACAAGTCATGTAATACAGTAATTCAACTGCTATTAGTTGACTTTTGTTATATCATAAATTCCACTGACACCGATGTGGGATTGAATTCTAATTATATATTTTCCAAATCATATAATGAGACATAAATTTCTTTCAACTCCATCATTTATTTGTTTGATATGGCAATTCCACTTATTCTTGCCTCTTCTGGTGGAGTTCCCATCTCCAAATTAAATAATACGAATAGTAATTACATGACCTCTAGATTCACTCGCTATATAAACAACGTAGAAATTTTCATATACCTCACAACTAACTTCAAATATTCTCTAGCACTTCATATCTTTAGCCAACACAGTAGTTCCTCTCTGGTTATTCCATTAGAATTAAGCAAGAAGATCACTCCCGGCCATAGAAAACTAATACTCCTATGATTCAATCAAGAACTAAAAGGGCATTTCACCAGCATCAAATCCTTAAGCAACAGAAGCCATATGGCAGATCAAATCAATCACACGAGGGCTGTAACCCCTTTCATTGTCATACCACAACACAAGTTTCACAAAGTTCTTGCTCAAGGCAATTCCAGCATTGGCATCGAAAATGCTTGATCTGCTCTCACCAACAAAGTCTGTGGAATACTCCGAAACCATTACGAAAGAATAGAGGATTTCTAAGTATTACTTAGTCAAATTCTATCCCAAATATAATGAAACTAAATCCAACATAAATTCAAGACAATAAAACTATAGACATTCAGCTCCAAATTCAACTAACAAACAAGAACAGGTCAGCCACATATTTCAATCAGAACCACGAGAGTAACATCACAAACAACAAAGAAAAGGCAGAAAGAGGGACCTGAATCATTTTCAAACGTATTTGAATCTCCGACGATTCCAACTTACTGAGGATTCCGATGATTGAACTCGATCGAAAAACAAGCACAACAATAGAAACTTCGGCAGAAACTACAAACGGCAACCTCGAGCGGCAACTCGAACGATCAACTACCCGTTTCACCTCCACTCCATTCGGAAACCAAAACCAAAAGAGACAGCCTAGATTTCATTATGCATCTCAAGTTTGATTTTTCTTTAGTTCTTTTTGGTCCAGATTTTCTTGTTTTTGAACAAATTCCTTTTTTATATGTGAGATTTGTAACATGTTATACCAAAAACGTTATCTTAGCCTTGGATCTAATATAGAAATGGCAGCTTCATCTATGTTTGTAAACGTCCAGAAAATGTGAGATGAAGCAGTGAAATTTGTTGCTCATTTCCGTTCTCCTTTGGTTCTTGTTCATTCTCCTGTTCCTCTTAAGCTTTCATGTATTTTTTTTTCAGATAACGCCGGCGGCGATGGTGGGCTGCTGATGTTTTTCCGGTGAGTCGAGTGACTGGCGGAGGCGGCTGGTTTGTGTATAGGTGATGGGTCTGGAGAAGATGGCTGGCTTCTCTCTTGTTAATGGCTGCTGAAGAAGATGAAGGACATGGGAGGGGTCCGTGTATTATGGTCAACAACGGCGGATGTCTCTTATCTTCTGTTTTTGCGTATTTTTTTTTTTAAGCATTACTTTATATATAGAGTCTAGGTTTAGGTGTATTTTTGTGTATTTTGTCAATTAGTCCCTAGGTCTTTTGTGTTAAGCCCTTAGGGTCTTTTTTTATTTGTTTTTATTCCTAAGAAGAGTCTAGAAGAGTCCTTAGGCTTAATGGACTAATCCGAATTGGACCAAGAATTGGGCTCTAAAACTCTTAAAATTGTGATCCAACACCTTAATTGACTCCTTTTATAATAAGATAAAAATATTACACAATCCAAAAGCTAACGTGAAACTATTATATATTTTTTGTATTTTCAAGATTATGTAAAGATAAAAATAATGTACTATTTTTTGTATTTTTTTATGAAAGGTACATAAAATAAAAATATTTTTTGTAATTTTCATTTTCTTGTAGTAAAATAAAGTAAAAGAGTAAAAATGAGTTGAAATAGCTATATTTGACCTAAATTAAATATTCACATGCTAAAATATAAAAAGTCTTGGGGAGGGTCAAAAATCACATGTCTACAACTACCCCTCTTTGACTAGAAAGACGAAGTATTTTCAGACAAAGATGACTAGACAGGTTTTTTGACCCGACCTTTATTTGGAGAGACTAAAACTAAGAGAAAGGGGAATGTGACCGAGCTCTGGTATCAGAGCTGCCTACATATCCTTGGCTATAAAGGAATCAGGTCATGTGTAGTTCAGAGGTGAGTGAGATGATGGAGTATGCCGAGGTGAAGAGCCGGAGGTGTCGTTCCGCCAAGGTTCCGGTCCGCAGTCCCGTTATTACATCAAAAAATAAAGAAATGGGAAAGACTAGCTAAGCCTACCAACTAAGAGTTACAAGATTCCTATCTATAAGTCTTCTGAAGCTTGATCTTGAGTTTTGAATGGTTCTTCATACAGACTTTGGATTTGAACCTTGACGTTTGCTAGTTGCAGGTGCTAGTTCGTTCTTCTTCAGCTTTTCAGACCAAAACAGGACATGTAGAGCTGGTGACCTCAGCCCTGTCTTGAGCAGCTCACATCTTTCATTAACTTCTACATTTAGATTCACTTCTTGTCTTTCCTTTTTCTTTTTATTCTGGATTGTGACTAACTTCTGTTGATTACCTCGGACTGTTGACTCGCATTCTTACCACGAGTTTCTTTTGTTGCTGACTTGAATTGTATTCTGAGTTAAATTTCCTTTTTTTTCAGGTGGGCGCCTGATTGCTAGACTTGAACCGTCTTCTCTTGTTACTTGACACTGTTTTCCCTTGCACCTTGAACCATTTTCCCTTGAAACTTGAATTGTTTTCCTTCAAAACTGCTTTCCCTAAAACTCGAGTTGTCTTCCTTCGAAACTGCTTTCCCTTGAAATTTGAATTGTCTTCCTTCGAAACTGGTTTCCCTTGAAACTTGAGTTGTCTTCCCTTGTTCTCCAGGTGGGCGCCTGATTGCTGAACTTGAAATGTATTCCCTTGTTCTCCAGGTGAGCGCCTGATTTTCACAAAATAGACAAAAACAAAGAAAACTTCTGCCCCAGTTTGGCATGTTACCAAATATCATTAAGAACTTGAAAACTGAAACTTGAACTATACTCCCTTATTCTCCAGTTGGGCGCCTGATTGCTGAACTTAAAATGTATTCCCTTGTTCTCCAGGTGGGCGCCTGATTGCTGAACTTGAAATGTATTCCCTTGTTCTCCAGGTGGGCGCCTGATTGCTGAACTTGAAATGAATTCCTTTGTTTTCCAGGTGGGCGCCTGACTGCTGAAGCTTGAATGTATTTCCTTGTTCTCCAAGTGGGCACCTGATTGCTGAACTTGAAATGTATTCCCTTGTTTTCTAGGTGGGCGCCCGATTGCTAAACTTGAAATGTATTCCCTTGTTCTCCAGGTGGGCGCCTGATTGCTAAACTTGAAATGTATTCCCTTGTTCTCCAGGTGGGCGCTTGATTACTGAACTTGAAATGTATTCCCTTGTTCTCCAGGTGGGCGCCTGATTGCTGAACTTGAAATGTATTCCCTTGTTCTCCAGGTGGGCGCCTGATTGCTAAACTTTTAATTGTATTCCCTTGTTCTCCAGGTGGGCGCCTGATTGCTGAAAATTGAATGTATTCCCTTGTTCTCCAGGTGGGCTCCTGATTGCTGAACTTGAAATGTATTCCCTTGTTCTCCAGGTGGGCGCCTGATTGCTGAAACTTGAATGTATTCCCTTGTTCTCCAGGTGGGCTCCTGATTGCTGAACTTGAAATGTATTCCCTTATTCTCCAGGTGGGCGCCTGATTGCTTAAACTTGAATGTATTCCCTTGTTTTCCAGGTGGGCGCGTGATTGCTGAACTTGAAAAATGTATTCCCTTGTTCTCTAGGTGGGCGCCTGATTACTGAACTTGAAAAATGTATTCCCTTGTTCTCTAGGTGGGCGCCTGATTACTGAACTTGAAAAATGTATTCCCTTGTTTTCCAGGTGGGCGCGTGATTGCTGAATTTGAAAAATGTATTCTCTTGTTCTCTAGGTGGGCGCCTGATTACTGAACTTGAAAAATGTATTCTCTTGTTCTCCAGGTGGGCGCGGATTACCAAAAAATAGACAAAACAAAGAAAACTTCTGCCCAAGTTTGATGTTGGGCGCATCTGTGAGTGTTAAACTGAATCATGTTACCAAATATTACTAAGCATTTGAAAGTTAGGTCCCATTATCCAAGAGGGTCCTGACAACTCTTGACTAAATGACAATTTTTTAAAGGTATGACTTCCGCTAAACCTGGTTATCTAAGAAGGTCTCAAAACTACATCCCATTATCTAGGAGGGTCCTGAAAATCAAACATCAAGTCTTATCTTAAGAGTGACAACTTTTATGGCTGAATTATACTACCCTACAGCAGAATTTGTGCTAAATGTTGTTATCTAATCGAAATCTTAAAGCTAAGTTCCATTATTCAGGAGGGTCCTGAAAACTCCTAATTGAATCCTATCCCGAACATGCAAACTTCTAAGCCAACTTATATTCCTTTGAGATACATTTATAGTAGATTTTGTTATTTTTGAACTTTAAACTAGGTCCCATTTTCCAGGAGGGTCCAGAAAACTTTAAATTAAATCCCATTATCCAGGCGGGTCCTGAGAGTTTACGGTCAAACCTGTCTGGTGCTTGCCTTTCCTTGTGGTGGGTTTCTCTGAAACAAACAAAATTTTCCTGCCTCTGTTTCAAATCAAAGAAAAATCTTGTCATTTTAAAATATGGTGGTTGGTTTGTGGCCTTGACTTTGAGGGCGGTTGCTCCTTCACTTCTCATGATAACCGATTTCCACTCGAAGACCTTGCTTTTTCCTTGACTAATCACTTTCTCTGTCATCCTTATCACCGAAAATACCTCTTCTCCGTTCATACCCAACACCCTTTATCTGTTGCATTACTCATGAACTGACATTTACCAACCTTTGTGTCTCCCATGAATCCCAAAGCACGTCAATTACCATCCACTCAATGTGCATGTTGNTTATCACAGAAAATACCTCTTCTCCGTTCAGACCCAATACCCTCTATCTGTTGCATTACTCATGAACTGACGTTTACCAACCTTTGTGTCTCCCATGAATCCCAAAGCACGTCAATTACCATCCACTCAATGTGCATGTTGTTCTTTCCTGACTTAACCCACTGGTATTGGCCTTGAGGTCTATTGCTCCTTCACTTGCCATGATAACTTTGATTTCCACTTGGAAGACCTTGCTTGTTATTGGTTAACCACTTTCTCTGTCAATCTTATCACAGAAAATACCCTTAATCTATTCACCTAACACCATCCATCTGTTGCATTGTCCATTAATTGATATGTACCAAACCTTTGTGTTTCACCAAAAATTCCTTTGATTCGTTCACCTAACACCCTCCATTTTGTTGCATTGTTCATGAATTGATATGTACCAAGCCTTTGTATTTTACAAGGATCCCAAAGCATGTTGATTATTATCAGCTCAATGCGTTTGTTGTTCTTTTCTGACTTATGACATTTTGATGCGTTAGCCAGACCCCGTTTTGTGCAATTGGACAGCTGGTGGCAAATTTTGAAGTCATTCTCAGTTGTTCTGACCATACAGACTCAGGAAGAGGAAGTGAACAAGACAAAAAGAACAGAGTGAAGGACAATGGAAAAAGATGATTCCTAGCGAGAAAACTACAAAGTAAAAACCTATCAGTTGTGGATACCAACTCTAATGACCATGACATGCACCTGTGGCCTATTCTGTCAAGTAAGCCTGATGTTCGACTCTTGTTGTACCTTTAAACCGTGAAACTGGGCTTCAATGCTCCAATTTTCCAATCTGATTCACGATCCTTACTCGACGTGTAGTGCCCGAAGGGTTTTCACCATCAAGCCTCTCTCATTTTTGTTTTCTTTGTGCAACACGGAGTGCTCCCCCTGGTGCAAATCATACCTCTGTCTCGCTTGACTTGGCATTCTCAAGTATTGGTCAGAAGGTCTTTCTTTGGACCGTAATGTGGGCTTTTGGATGGGGTTAGAAAGAAAGGGTATCATAAAGGCTCAAAAACAGCTTAAAAGGGCTCAAATTTACAACTTTTGGAATCAAATCTCTTACAACAACCACAACTTCTGCCCCAGTTTCTTTGCTTGGGGACTTTTGGATTTTTATTTTGATGGGACCGAACTGTGAGGCTGCCTACGTATCCTTAAAAGGAATCAGGTCGAACGTAGTTCATGTTATAGGAATTACTTTGTTTGTTGTAATTTTTATTTTCTTTTTCTTTTCTCTTCTTTCCTTCTTTTTCTTTTTGTTGTTATTTTTCTTCTCTTTTTTTCTTTTCTCTTTCTTCTTTTTTTTCTTCTCTCTCTTTTCCTTCTTTTTCTTTTCTCTTTTTCCTTTACTCATCTTTCACGCTTGCGTTTCTGATCTTTGCTACTGATTCCGAAATAGGG